GGGAAGGAATGGGGAGGGGAGGAGAGGGGAGTGGGGAGGGGAGGGGAGGGGAGGGGAGTGGGGAGGGGAGGGGAGGGGAATAGAGGGAAGGGGAGGGGGGGGGGGGAGAGAGGGGGGGTGGGGAAGGGAGGGGACGTAGGGAGTGGAGAGGAGGGGACGGGAGGGGCTGAGCCAGAGGAGCTGGCTGTGCCCCACAATGCAGCCCATACCCTCCCTACCTTTAGTTGCATCCCAGAAGACACAGGTGAAGGTCATGTTCTGAAACCAAAGAATGGGAGTCAGGAGACAGGAAAGGGGAAGGTTGGGGGAGGGGAGGGGAAGCGGGAGGACGCTGTGCTCCCTTGGGTCCTAGCGGAGTGTGCGTGAGGTAGAAAGCAAGCTTCACGCCCATGGGCTGCATAGAAAAATTAAGTGCATCATTTGATGAGCCCTTGGCCGACTGCGGTGTGGGGCTGTGGGCGGGGCGGGGGTTTGCCTGTTTGTGTGCATGTGCGTGTGTCAGGGAGCCTGCATGTGGAGCATGTGGAATGCCGTGCGGATGCAGGTGGGCTTGCCAGGTCCTCATGTGCGCCTCTAGGGTGTGTGGCCTTGGACCTAGGTATGTGTATGGCCCTAATGACTCCTCCTGGGTGGCTGTGGAAGGGTAGGGACAGATGTGCAGTGTCCCATGCAGGGCCCATAGGCCTGGGTGTGCCCACCCACCTGTCCGCCCCACAGTGACTGCCAGGCCTGGGCGGGGGACTCACGGGGGGTGGACGCTGGTGGGAGAAGATGATCTCCAGAGGCTCAGCCAGCCTGGTGACATGCATTCGTCCCACACTCAAGCCCACCAGGCGATTGTTCAACACGCTGCTGCCATCCCCCAGGCTGAGCTGGGGGCCCTGTGAGGGGGGAGATCAGGGGGTCAGGCTGTAGAAGGGGCCATCCTGACCCACCCGGGCTGGGGTTCCTAGCAGCCTCCAAGAACACATGGCCCTTGCTTGGAGGGCGGAGTTCGAGGCCAGGGGACCAAGGGGCTAAGGAGTCACGGGCAGCCTCCTCCCTGATGCTCCCGGTGGCCTCCTGCCTGGGCTGGGCCAGGTCAACTGGCTGCAAAGCTGTGCACATGGCCGCTCTCCGCTGTTGGCCTCCAGAGCTCCTCTGCCCTCTTAACTAGAGGGGGCACAGGGCCAAGATCAGCCAAGAAATGGAAGTCAGTGGGGAGGACAGCGTGTCCGTGAGGGTCTTAGCATGAGTGTGCATCAGTAGAGAGGCGGCTGGTGGGGGGAGCATAGCCCTCAGGGGTACACACGTCTGCGCATGAGTGGACGCACACCTCTGGGGTGTGCATACCTGGTAAACGTATGTGCAAGGGCATGGCTGCACTCACTCGTGTGGATATGATCACACCTGAGCACAGGGGATGCTGTGTGCGCAGGAATAGAAAGGACATGCATGTTTGTGCACACACAAGGACACACAAGGGCACATGAGCACCCTCAGGACACAGGTACAGTCAAAGGTCACTGATGTATGGGGTCAGACATCTGAGAGCCTGTGACCAGTGTGAGTCTGAAGGCCACAGGCTCTAGCGACAGGGGTCTGGGATGACCATGGGCTGCATTAGAAACACTAAGAGGCTCACCGCCTGCTCTGTCCCCATCGGATGCCTCAGCAGACACCAGTGACTGCAAGCTGTGGCATGGGGCCCAGAGGACCTAGCACTTGACCTCGGAGCTTCCCTGAGTCCTCACCTTGAAGAGAGTCCCCAGACCGATGTCCAGAACAGTGATGGCCAAGCGGACCGCAGACCTATTGCCCGGCAGGGATTCGAAAAGGCTCTTGGGAAGTCGCACTCTGTCAGGGGGCTTGTCCTCATCCTTCATCACCTGCCTTGGGACCTACAACCACAGACTCAGCAGCTCCATCTGTACCCAGCCTCCAACACGGGTCCTGCCACTCCCCCAGCTGGGAGGGGAAACTGAGGCATACTGGGTCGGGGCAGCACCTGAGGACTGTCAGGTCTGAGAGGCAGGACGCTTGGGGCACAGTGCAAGCTCTGCTCCTCACAGGCGGTGCATCCCTAGACAAGTTACAGCCCTTATGGAGCCTCGGTTTTCCCAACACAGGGGACAGACCTAACCTTGTGCCTGTTTGGCCACCTGAGGCCTGGGCAAGCTGAATGTGCAAGTGTGAGGATGGCTGAAGGCTGTGTGCTTTTGGCCAGGGCCCTAACAGTCCCACTGTTTACACAAGGCTTGATGGTGACAGTGTCTGGCTTCTGACTCAGGGAGGAATGGAAAGAATAAAACCATCAGGAAGGAAGTTGAGGAAGGGAGAGAACGAGGGCAGAGGGGGACACGCATATTTACTCTGAATGTGAAATCCTCCCCACCCAACAAGCACAACGCAGTTTTAAAAAACAAAGAATGGTCAAAATATTGAAATACATATCAGTGGTCATTGCAAAGCATATTTTTTGAGACCAAGTCTCGCTGTTATTGCCCAGGCTGGAGTGCAATGGCGCAATCTCTGCTCACTGCAATCTCCGCCTCTCAGGTTGGAGTGATTCTCCTGCCTCAGCCTCCCAAGTAGCTGGGATGATGGGCATGTGCCACCATGCCTGGCTAATTTTGTATTTTTAGTAGAGATGAGGTTTTACCATGTTGGTCAGGCTGGTTTCAAACTCCTGACCTCAGATGATCCCCCCGCCTCAGCCTCAAAAAGTGCTGGGGTTGCAGGCGTGAGCCACCGCACCCAGCCACAAAGCATGTTTCCTTCATTCTCTGAGCCCCCTGTCCCCGCAAAGGCTACAGCCTGAGCCACCCGGGGCCTGCCTCAGAAGCACCACATGTGCATTGGCACAGGGGGGCTATCATTGGAGCTGAAGGCCCCAACTTTCTCCTTCCCGGTCCAGACTCTCATAGAAAGGACAGGTGGGTGATTTCTGGGGCCAGTGCATAACCCAGGCAGAGGGCTCCACTGCTTGAGTGACATAACAAAGCGTTGAGGAAAAAATCTATCTTCCATTTCCCTTTCTTCAGACAAACCCAAAAGTCCCTCATTCCTCACCAACCCACCTGGGTGCCTCAACCTCTACCACCATGTCCATTTCTTCCAGAAGGCCGGAGACTTTCTGCGCCCTCGCTGCCCCAAGTATCCTCTGTGCCTTATCTCATTTGCTCCTCTCATTCGTCTTTTGTTTGTTGTGTGTTTTGTTTGTTTTTGTAGAGATGGAACGTCACTGTGGTGCCCAGGCTGGTCTAGAACTCCTGGCCTCAAGCCAGCCTCCCAAAGTGCTGGGATTGCAGGTGTGCCCCACTGCACCTGGCCATGTTCATCTTAAAAGTGGGCAGTACCTTCATCTTTTTACAGATAGGGAAACCGAGGATCAGAAAAGTCATTTGCCCATGATCACAAGGGCAGAGCTGGGATTTGAATCCGCCCAGCATAAATCCAGAGTCCACCCATTGAACCCTTTCCCTCATTTCAACTATATTGCTTCAGCAGAAGAGCTCATGGGAATTTTAGGCGTGGAGGAGCCTTAGAGCTGATTTTACAGGTGCAGCTCTGCCAGTCGGGATGTGGGGGGAACAAGCCCTGATGGGCACCAATCACAGGTTATAACTCTCTTGGAGTTTTGAAATATTGTTCAAGAAAGATAGGGTCTGAACCAGCCAAGGGGGTTGGGGAGCTCTTCACCTGAGAGGGCTTGAGAGAGAAGTACAGGTCTTCTGCGGTGCTGGTGCTGACGTTCTGGACCAAAGCCTTCAGGAAAGACATGTTCACCTTCTCCGTCAAGGTTTCCTCCACCAGGTGGGCCTCGTAGTTTAGCCAGTATCTGCAAGGGGCCAGGGACAGGAGGGTAGAATCCTGCGGGCTGAGTTACTCACTCCTTGGGCTCCTGGGGTGAGAGGGCTGACCCAAACTACCAAAGTAAAGACCCTGGGATCACAGCAGGAGGAAGAAAGGTGGCTTGGGAGCCACCCAGACTGCTCCTGCAGGATTTCAGCTAGGAGTCCCCTCTGAGTATTTTATGCATTCGTCTTTTTTTGTGTGTGCACGTGGTAAAATACATATAACATAAACTTTACCATCTTAATAACTTTAAAATGTCCAATCCAATGGCATTAAGTAATTCACAATGTTGTGCAACCATCATGCTGTCTAGTTCCAGAACTTTTCATCACCCCAAAGGAAACCCATACCCATGAAGCATGCCCCTCTCCCTTCCCCTGGCTTCTGCAATCACTAATCTACTTTCTGTCTTCATGAGTTTGCCTATTTCAGATACCTCACACCAATGGAATTATACAATATGCAGCCTTTTGTTTCTGACTTTCACTCAGCGTAATGTTTTCTGGGTTCACCCAAGTTGTAGCATGTACCAGTATTCCATTTTATTTTGTTTTTGAGATGGAGTCTTACTGTGTCGCCCAGGCTGGAGTGCAGTGGTGCGATCTCAGCTCACTGCAGCCTCTGCCTCCTGGGTTCAAGCGATTCTGCTGCCTTAGCCTACTGAGTAGCTGGGATTACAGGTGTGCACCACCATGCCCAACTCAAATTTTGTGTTTTTAGAAACATGGAGTTTCAGTATGTTGGCCAGACTGGTCTCGAACTTGTGACCTCAAGCGATCCGCCTGCCTCAGCTTCCCAAAGTGCTGGGATTACAGGCGTGAGCCACTGCACCTGGCCCTATTTCTTTTTTAAAATTCCTTTTAGTAGAGTCAGGGGTCTCACTCTATTGCCCAGGCTGGCTTTGAACTCCTGGCCTCAAGTGATCTTCCTGCCTCAGCCTCCCAAAGTGCTAGGATGACAGGAGTGAGCCACTGTGCCTGGCCCTTGTATTTCTTTTCTTTTTATGGATGAATACTATTTCATTGTATGGAGAGATCATATTTTGATTATGCCTTCACCCATTGAGGGACAATTGGAGATTTTCCTCTTTTTTTTTTTTTTTTTTTTTTTTTGGCTATTGTGAAAAGTGCTGCTACAAATATTCATGCACAAGCTGTTGCTTTATTTTTATTTTGAGACCGAGTCTCGCTCTGTCACCCAGACTGGAGTGCAGTGGAGTGATCTTGGGTCACTGCAACTTTCGCCCCCTGAGTTTAAGCAATTCTCCCACCTCAGCCTCCCAAGTAACTGGGATTACAGGTGCCTGCCACCTCGCCACGCTAATTTTTCTTTCTGTGTTTTCAGTAGAGACAGGGTTTCACCATGTTGGCCAGGCTGATCTCAAACTCCAGACCTCAAATGATCTGCCCACCTCGGCCTCCCAAAGTGCTGGGATTACAGGTGTGAGCCGCCGTGCCTGGCCCATGTACAAGCTTTTATTTAGAGACTTGTTTGAAATTCTTTTGGGTGTGTACCTGAGCAGCACAAAGAGGAGCCTCTGAACAGCTCTGGGGTGTTAAGAAGTTGCTGGATCAGCTGCAGGTGGGGAGGGTAGTGTTTTCAGGCCACTGAAGTAACGATCCAATGAGATTGCTGTCCTAACACCAAGCCTGAGAGCAGGCTTTCATTCATTCCTTTAACACATGTTTACTCAGTACTAATACAAGCCAGGTGCTTTTCTAGGTATCCTGGAAGAGTTACGGGCAACTTTGATTAGGAGTGGAAGAAGGAAAGAGAGGCAGGGATATTTTTGGAGATGGCTCCTGAAGACGTTGTATTCTACACCCCTCCATCTCCCTCACCGCTGCGTCTAACCAGTCTCTTGTCTTACTGAGCCTCCATTGAATCATCTTTCCCTCCATCTCCCCTTTCCAAACACACCATGCCAGTTGCTGCTGGTGGTGCTGGCTCGGCCCTCACTCCCACCCAGGACCCTGTAGTGCGTCCTACGGGGTCATGACTTCCTGCATCACCACCCCATCACCGTTCGTGAGGCCTGAGCAATCTTTCCAAAATGCAGAGTTGACTATACTCTACCTGTGCTTAAAATATGTCATTGCCGGCCAGGTGCGGTGGCTCACGCTTGTAATCCCAGCACTTTGGGAGGCTGAGGCTGGCGGATCATGAGGTCAGGAGATCGAGGCCAACAAGGTCAAACCCAGTCTCTACTAAAAATACGAAAATTAGCTGGGCGCAGTGGCACACACCTGTAATCCCAGCTACTTGAGAGGCTGAGGGAAGAGAATAACTTGAACCCAGGAGGCGGAGATTTCAGTGAGCCATGATCATGCCACTGTACTCCAGCCTAGCAACAGAGTGAGACTCCATTTAAAAAATAAAATAAAATAAAATAAAAAGTCATTGCCTTGCTGCACCCCCCATTGGTATAGCTTACACAATCCTTCACACCTTAGTCTCTGCCTATATTTCCAGTCCTATCTCCCACCCATAGCATCTCCCCATTGCCTCTTCCATCCCCAAGCAGTTTACATTGTTACAGTTCAAAGCATTGAAAGTTATCCCCGAATACTCTCAGTTCTGCTGCCTGTACCCCCACCATTGCTTAGATCCAACTGGAAAACTCCTATGCACCCTTCAAAGCCCTTTCTGGGTTTCCTCCTCTGTGAAGCCTTGGCCGACTTCCCTCCTGCGGGCTAAACTGGCACCTTGTCTGCCCTTCTGTATACACTCTGGAGTCATCATTATTTGGGTCTATGTCTGTCCTTCCACAACTCCCAAGGGCTGGGATAGGAGTGGATTCATCTCTGAATCCCCTAGATCAGTAGGGATCCCAATTGCCAGAATGGAGGTGTTGGGTCTGGGGACTGTGGTGTCAAACAAGGTGGAAGGGTGAGATGGGAGCGGCATTTTCTGGGGCCATGGGGGCAGATGGCCCCATCCCATCCTGAAAGCCCCCCCTCCTGGCAGCTTCAGATTCCCCCTCCAGCTCAGGGGACCCCCTTACTTCTGCAAGTTTCCCACATCGCAGGGCTCGCTCTCCGACTGCCTGCACTTGGTGAAGCACCCAGCCTTGTCTTTCAAGTCAAATGCGCCGTACTCATCCAAGCTGTCCCCCAGGCAGCTGTGTCTTGGCTCTTCGATGTGGTTTTCCTGACCTAAGGAAGGGATGCAGAGAGTGCGGATGGGCTGGACGAAGATGGGCAGCAAGGAAGAGGAGGGGGAAAGGAGCTGGGGTTCCAGAGTCTGGTGGTTGGCCTGGAACCCAGCTCCATGCATCACGTTAACAGTGCACTTGAGCGGGACGCAAACCCTCTCTCAGGCTGTATCCAAGGTGAAAGGAAATGTCCCATCTCCCAGAGCTGGTAGGATACTTTGGGGAAAGCATGTACAAAAGGCTTGGCACATGACTTTGTAAATAAAAGGTTTCATATGTTTGTGCTGTTACTCCTTTACCCCTTCCTCCAGGGAGTCTTCCTGGCTTCTCACAGTTATTCCACATCAGACCTTCTAAAGCCCTCACAGCTGTGGACTCTTGTGGAACTCTTGGATGCCTTCTGTCTTGGTTTGCCACGTTCTCCCACGTTTACACTACAACCCTCACGGCTACCTCCCGGGACAGGCAGAAAATGCAGCAAACCAAGGCCTCTTGAGCAAAATGACTTGAGAAAGGTTGCTAGCTAGTTGGAGTTTGCTCCGGGACTGAAGACCAGCTTTTGTGACTTTAAGCTCAGCTCCTTTTCACCTAACTCAGGGCATGAAGTGAAAGCTTTGAGTCATCTAGTAGCTGTAAGTCCCAAAGCAAGTTACTTAAACCCTCTAAGGCTCAATCTTTTGCCAGCAAAATGGAGCTAATAATGCGTTCCTTCCGAGTTTTGGGGAGAATTAGAGATAAAGGACATAGCTCATTGCAGTTGTTCAAAGAGTTACCACCTTTAACGGTTTATTGCACAACCTTCTGGAAATTTTGCAGAAGGCATGCATATGCAAGTATTTATAAGCACATCATTTTTTTTAAATTTAAAACAATTTTCATCGAGAAGAGTGGGTCCTCACTATGTTGCCCAGGCTGGCCTCAAACTCCGGCCTCAAGCGATCCTCCCACCTCGGCTGCCTAAAGTGCTGGGATTACAGGCGTGAGCCACCATGCGTGGCCAATACATAATTTTTAAATGTACGCAAACAAAATCACTTAGCTATATATCTTTTTTCTTTTCCTTTGAGACAGAGTCTTGTGCTGTCACCCAGGCTGGAGTGCAGTGGCATGAGCTCAGCTCATTGCAACCTATGGCTCCCAGGCTCAATAGATCCTCCAACCTCAGCCTCCCAAGTAGTTGGGACTACAGGCACATGCCACAATGCCCAGCTAATTTTTCATTTTCTTATATTTTTTATTTTATTTTTTGTAGAGACAGGTTTCACTGTGTTTCCCAGGCTGATCTCGAACCCCTGGGCTCAAGGGATCCGCGAGCCCTGGCCTCCCAAAGTGTTGGAATTTATAGGCATGAGCCACCATGCTTGGACAAGCAATGTATCTTGAAGAACTTTCCACCTCATTCTTTATATAGCTGCAAACTATTCCATTCCATGGGCATTGCAAGCCTTTTTTAACCAGTCTCCTGTTGGTGGACAATGATTTTCACAATCTGCCCTAAGAATTCCTGAGTGTGCATCTTTTCAGCTTGTGTTAAGAACTCATAGAAAACGTTCGTATCATAGGACTATCTGGATCTAACTATGTGCTTTAAAACTCTGCCGGGAAGTCCAGGTGTGGTGGCTCAAAACTGTAATCCCAGCACTTTGGGAGGCTGAGGTAGGTGGATCACCTGAGGTCAGGAGTTTGAGACCAGTGTGACCAACATGGGGAAACCCTGTCTCTACTAAACACAAAAATTAGCCAGACCTGGTGGCAGGCACCTAAAATCTCAGTCACTTAGGAGGCTGAGGCAGGAGAATCCCTTGAACCTGGGAGGCAGATGTTACAGTGAGCTAAGATCGCACCACTGCTAAGATCTCCTGGACCACAGAGTGAGACTCCATCTCAAAAAAAAAGAAAAAGAAAAAGAAAACATTCCTATCATAGGACTTTCTGTATGTGCTTTCAAAAACTGCCGGGTGTTATTGAATTTCCCTCCAAAAACTGGTGCACCTATTTAAAGTCTCATCAAAAGTGGGTAAGAGAGACTATTTATCCACATGCCTGTTATTCTATAGTTTACTAAACTTCTATATTTTTGCTATTCTGAGAGATGACATTGAATCTTATTTTCATTTAAGGAGTTTGAGCACCTGCCTGTATATTTGAGGCCAATTATATGTCTTCTACTCCGAATTGCTTTGCCATGTCCTTCTCCCATTGATGGTGGGACGTGGTCTCAGCTCTGCCTCCTCATTTTTTGGATTACCCTCCCCAGAAACTGTTAGGGGAGCTCCCTGTGCGATGGGCGGTGCTGGGGGTGAGGCGGGCAGGGGCTCATTTGCTTTCCATTTTTTATTTCCCTCTCTGCTGTTTGATTTTTAAAAAATCATGTCCACTATTGCTGTCACTTAAAACAAAACTGTTCATTTGAAAACATGAAGACAAAAGAAAAATAAAATACACGATAAAAAGAATGGCTGAATAAAGAGTAATGGCAGGGTAAAAACATTCGGGAGTGGATTTTGTAATAATGGATTCTACATGTGACAATTCGTTTTAGACAGCTTATAAAGGAACTTTAAATTTCTGTTAGATTGTAAAGATATTTATGATGCATTGTTTAATGGCAGATGCAAATGATAGATGAGCATGCATGTAAAATGATCCATGTTTGCTTTTATATAAAGGGGAGAAGAGGGAGAGGAGGAGGAAGACAGAAGCAGGGAGAGGAAGAGAGGAGAGAAGAGGAGGGGATGGGAGGGGAAGGAAGAAGACAGGAGAGGAGGGGAGAGAACATGGTCCGCTTGAGGGCAAGTGCCATTCTCTGCCATCCCGGCCCTGCTGTCGTGAATGGGCACAAGTGCAGGCAGCCTGCTGGTGGGTGACATCAGAGCCTCCCTCCCTTCCTGCCAAGAATTTCAGTGCAGGCGTGTAAGTGAAGCTCTTGGCAAACACCCTGAACAGAGATGATCGTTAAATATCTTTTCTGTGTGTATTCTTTGAAGCACTTCATGTAGACAAGGAGATCCTGCGCTAGGCCTGTGGGTGGGATAGCGCCCCCTCCTCTCCAGGCCCTCTGTGCTCTAGAGCCTGGCCTCCGTGGACTGCCTCATTTGGGGTTCAGCAAATGGGGAGTGGACTGGAGGTCAGAGGGCAGGAGGAGGGCAGGGTGGACATTCGCCCCTACCCCGCACGGCTCCCTCAGCCCCCGCTGGCTCACCACGAGCAGACCACCACCATTCCCCTCCCGCAGCCACAGTCTGGCTCCAGAAGCTCAGGTGGCCAGACCTCACGGTGCCGAAGGCTGCCCCAGGTGCCAGCCTGCCCAGCAACCACCCTGCTTGCTCCCCATGCCCTGCCCACACCTTTGTCACGCGTCCCTTTATGGCAGACCCCCCCACTGCATCTGTCCCCTGCTCAGCCCTAACAGCTGGGTCCCACATGCTGGTGCCCACCACACTGCGTCACTCCTGCAGACTGTGAGCCTTTTGAGGGTGGGGGCCAAGTGGTACCAGCAGGAGCAGAGGGCACCATTGATGCTTCTTGAATGAATGAGTGAACGAATGGGCAGACAGATGAACGGAGACTAACACATAACTGTCCACACAGGAGGGAGTCTTACTTCTGGGTGTAGACCTGTCAAAGCTCCTCACTTGATCAAAGGGCTGCGGCTCTGCCCCAACCAGAGCATGCACGTCACCACGCAGAAAACAGCATCACCTAGAGGAGCCTCGAAGGCCCAACCAGCAATGACGGCTGGGACCTGAGGCCGCCCATGAGCCCCGGTCACAGCTGCCATCGGTGGCTCCATTCATCCATCCATCAAGGGCCACCTGGTGGCCTGCTCTGTACCAGGACCTCCCGCAGCCACTAGGAGGACAGTGCTGCCATCTCCACCCTGTTTTTGAGCCAGGGACTGATTCACTCCACTGAATCTCCTGATGTTTGAAGAGAAGAGGGTTCTTTGAAGCCCAAAGAGGTTGATCTATGAGGCCAAAGCCATGTGACCACACACTGGACACCCAGAGAGATGGACATGCAGGCCCCTAACCAAGTCAGGAGCAAAATGAGAGCAGCCCACAAGACCCTGAGACAGGAGCACTAGGGAGGGAGCACTCAGGAGGGAGCACTTATGGGGAGCACCTCCCTCTGTCCCAGAGGGTTGCTAAGTTGCCACAGAGGCCAAGAAGAGTAAATGGAGCCGGTTAGGTGGGCAAGGGGTAGGGGGGCAGCTTTTCTGGGAGAGAGGCCAGCAAAGGCAAGGCCCGGGTGCTTCCACGGCCTCTGGAGATGCACCATGTGTTCCCGTGTGAGACGGGAAGGTGACAGGGAGGAGTGTGGATCCTGGCTCAGGCCATTGAGGACCAAGGGGCCATGGCTGAGACTGGGAGAGGGGGCCAGGTGGGGTGGTGTGTGTGGGAGGAGAGGGCCAGGCGAATGAGGTGATAGGCCTTCCTGGCCTCAGCTTCCCGAGTGTCCAAATCCCATCCCCAGGATCCCACAAGCCAGCTGGAGAATCGCCTGCCCAGAGCCGACCCTGTCCCACAGCCAGGCCTATCAGGGAGCCGCAGCCCAGGCTGGGGAGTCACGAGCACCCTCTGACCTCCCCTATCTCCAGGGCACTGTGGGGCAACCACGGGAACCCGAGAGCAAGGTTTAGTGGGAGGACAGGATTGATCCAAAGGGACAGGGCTAGAGGAGGTGCTGAGGTGGCCACGGGGGACTCTCGGAGGACACTTCCCAGACATCCCAACTCCTCACCCTCTCCTGTCCCTGCCTCTGTCTCTGGCTCCCTCCCTCCCTCCACAGGGCAGGGTGAGTGTGAGAAGCCAGCCACTTACCTAAGGCCAGGAGCAGGAGAAGCTGGAGGAGCAGCGCCCCCAGGGCCCTGGGCATCGCCATCCTTGCCCACGCCACCAGAGTCCTGCAGCTGTCTGGCCCTCTGGCCCCAGGCTTCGCGGAGCTGGCCTGCCCCCACCCTGCGGCCCCACCGCTCTGGCTTCCTGTGTCCTCTTTCTCACCCTTCCTGCTCAATGGCGCCATCGGTTGGGTTGTGAAAGGTGAGTGTGGGGAACTGGGCAGTGTTCCCAGCCGCACCGTGCCCAGGAGGCCACCTGCAGAGGGAGATGCTGAGCCCACCCAGGGATGTGCCCCAGGGTCCCACTGGGATGGGATCTACGAGGCAGAGGGGTGGGGGCATTGAGTGGCCACAGAGGCCTTGCCCTAGAGCAGACCCCTGGGAACTATGATGCGCACAGGCGTGGAGCCAGGTGCACCTACTCAGACCCCTCCTTTCACAAGCTGGGGGCCTCTCTGAGCCTCGGTTTTGTCCTCTGCAAAGTGAAGACGGCAATGGGGCTGCCTCCTAAGGCTTGTCAGGGTTTGATGAGACCTGCAATAACCTGAGCACAGCCTGGCTCTGGGCATGAGGGCAAAGACCCGGATGATGCCTAAGGCTTGAACCAGGCTGGAGGGCATGGGAGAGCCAGAGCTGGCCTGTGGCCTGAGCCTCCCCCACCAGCTTGGATAACAGGACGGACTCAGAGACAGGGTAGCGGGAAGACAGGAGTGCGGCCCCAGGGGTTGGTCAGGCCTGGCCTGACATCCGTCCTGACCACTTCCTGGCTGAGTGGCTTTGCACAAGCTGTCTGTCACCGGAGCCTCTCGAGGCATGTGATGCACTCACGGATGACGCATGCAGAGCCGCTTGGCTGGTGGGCGTGGCCATTGTATCATTTCTGATCAGCAGTGCTGTGAAATCGCTGTCTCCCCACCCCAGCCGGTCACCAATCGGACGGGAAGCAGGGGCAGCAAACACGCCTGGGCTTCAGCCTAAAGGAATCGGGGAGCCAGCCACTCGAGCTTCAACTCTAGAGGCCCCAGGGAGGCACAGTGGATGGGCCTAGGGCCACCTGGAGATCGGAAGGTGAAGGACACCCTGCCAAGGTGTGTGGTCACTGGCACCTCCCTCTGGCCCATGGCGCTGGCACTGCCCTGCTCAGCCTTGGGGTTGAACTGGGGAACCGCTCGGTCCCTGCTGGCCTCCATTTCCCCTTCCTCCCACTCAGTGTCTCCTGCTGAGCCCTCTGGGTCTGGGAAGGGGTGGGGAGGTGATGTCTGGGTCACTCGCAGGGTGGGAGCGAGTGGGAATCCAGCATGGAGCAGCAGGTCAGAGCCCAGGGCTTCCTGAGCCCCAGAAACTTCCTCTGCAGGGAGGATCGCGAACGCAGATGAATGGCGGGTCTGCCACTGCTCCACACCCTCCCAGCCTTCTCCTACACGACCTGCCGGCCTCCCTCCCAGCTGCAGGTGAGGGTGGGGTGGGGCGGTGGACTTGGATGAGCTGGGCCTGTCGCTGGAGACCCATCCTGGCCCTGGGCCCCCAGAGAGTCTCACAGGTACCAGTGTGTGAAGAGGGGCCGGGGGTTGACTGGGCTGGGACTCCAAGCACCCCACCCACCTTGGAACGTGGGATCAGGGCACCTGGGGGGAGGACAGGGGAAGGTCAGGCTGGAAGGAGAGCAACCTTCCCCCACAACCCTTTCCCAAAAAGGCCCCATGGGGACCAGGGACTGGCCTGGAGCCACTCACAGAATGCTGAGACCCCCGAGTCCCAGCGCCAGCAAAACAGTAGTAACCCTTCCTGCCACCTCCTGCCCCAGCTTCTCCCAATGGCTCCAGTGGGCAGGGCCTCAAGTCCTCCAGCCAGACCCAGCCAACATTCAGCCTTCAGCCACTCCAATTCGATTCTCAAGCTAGAGGGATGTTTCCAGATGCAGGCCTGGCCACGTGCTGGCAGAAAGGGTGATCCCGCTGTCCAAAGCCCCACAGCCCAGGAAAGTGCACGATAAGAACAATCAGGTCAAAGGAGCAGCACAGAGCTGTGAGTGCCCCATTCAGGGCCTTCCCAAGAAGGTGACACCCAACCCAAGATCCCTCCCCATTGCTTGAGCCAGCCTCGGACACAGAAACTAGACGTATGAGAAGTGGGAGAATTGCAGGGTGGGGGTGGTGGTCTCTTCCTGGGTCCTTTCCCTCCCTTCTGGAGGATGTGGGGAGTTGCCTCAACCCCCACCGCAGGACCTAGCCCAGCTATGGGGCTCTGAGAGACTCCCTCACGGAGACCTAGAGGCCTATAAGGAGGGAAGCTGGCTCTGATCCCCCCGGCTGCCCAATCCTGACACAAGGGTGGGGGAAGCTTGGGAAGGTTTGGCCTCTGTCCTCTGGAGCTGGAGGCATAAGAGGAGCCCCCCACCTGCAGATCTTATAAAACGTTTTACAGGTTTTTAAAATGTGATATTCTTCTCTGAACACCCACTGTACTTCAGTATCTTCACGTTTTAAGGGCTTCCTGTGTTCTGACACTGTTATATTTCAGAAAGAGAAACATGCACAGCTGTAATTATAAGGTTTTGGCCGGGCGTGGTGGCTCACGCCTGTAATCCCAGCACTTTGGGAGGCCAAGGAGGGTGGATCACGAGGTCAAGAGATCGAGACCAGCCTGGCCAACATGGTGAAACCCCATCTCTACTAAAAATACAAAACAATTAGCCGGGCGTGGTAGCAGGCACCTGTAATCCCACCTACTTTGGAGGTTGAGGCAGGAGAATCGCTTGAACCCAGGAGGCAGAGGTTGCAGTGAGCCAAGATTGCGCCACTGCACTCCAGCCTGAGCGACAAGACCAAAAACTCTGTCTCAAAAAAAAAAAAACAAAAAAAAAAGGCAGGCAGTCTGGCTACATGGGCCCTCATTCCTACAAGGCAGTGACCAACTGGAGCTGATGAGCAGCTGCCCCCTCAGCGTAGGATTGGAAGTCTCCAGTTTGCCACAGACCCCACCACTCCCCATGGCCTCCCCAGCATAGACACCAAGTTGCCATTTATTTTCCCCTTTTCCCTGGCTGATGAGGTTTCTAGCAGTCCACTTTTTTTTTCTTCACACACAGCCCTCTTCTCTCTTTCATGTTTCCTGATTGGCCCCAAGGTGTTTGTATCAGTGACTCTTTTAGTAGGAGCACAGGAAAAAGCTCAGAAGGAAATGCCCCAACATGTTTACGCCAGTTAGGTGATAACGGCAGCTGATTTTAATTTTACTTCTTGATTCTCTTCTACAGTTTCCAAGTTCTCTACAATGAACATGTACTTCTTTTTAATATCAAAAGACAAAAGAATGGGTACTAAAAAGACCATCTTTCCCATCTTTAAGGTCAAGATGACACGCTACCTCCTGCAGGAAGTCTTCCGGGATTCCCAGCCAGGAATGATGGCTCCCTCTCCTCGTGTCTGTAGCTCCTGGAGCTCTTGCTTCATGCATGCCTCACATACCATGCTGAGGGTTGGCAGGGGGAGTGACCAAGTCAGTCATCCATGTCCCTACCACCTAGCACAGGCCAGCAATAGACCCACGTGTGTTTGTTGGACATAATTAACCATGATGGGGGCTGAGTGTGCCTGCAGCTATTTGTGGGTCTTAGGGGTTGGCTCTAGGCCAGTGTCACCAGAGGAGGTTGGTCTCTGTCCTTGGAGTGCTGGGATGCAAACCAGGTGGGATTGCCATGGTCCACAGTTCTTGCCACAAGAGGGCATCAGGAGAGGCCGTGGCCCCTGTGAGGTGTGTGCTTAGTCAGGGTGCGCAGGGGCAATGCAGCTCAGAAGAAGGCCCAGACGGACAGAGGGACCTGCCCAGCTCAGGCATCTGTACTGAGCCTGGGTCAGGGGCAGGCCAAGGCTTGTGCAGTAGACAAACGTTTACAGCAGACACCAGGCGGCTCCTGGAAACCACGCCCCACAAAACAGCATTGGAATAGGGGACCCCAGGCTGTGAACGAAGGAGCGGGGAGGCCCTGGGAGAGGAGAACCCCGGGGAAGATGGAGGGAGGGCTGGGAGGTGATGGAGGGAGGGGCCTGGGCTCAGAGGTAGGCGAGCTGCTGCTGTGCTCCTGGCAACGGGCTTCTCCTTCCCCAGGGCTCTGGCCCTGAAGCTCTGCCCGGGGCCCCATTTGCCCTGGGTGCCACCTGAGGTTAAAATGACAGAGGATGCAGAACACCCTCAGGGTGATCACGAGAGACAGAGCAGCTGGAGCCACGTTTCTGTCCCAGGCAGGGGCAGAGGCTGTGCCAGACCCTCAAGATCCAAGGCCCGGCTCCCAGCAACGAGGCTGGGCCTGGGGTGGTGGGGAGAGAACAGGCCTCCACCCGGATTAGGACAGATGTGGGGACAGTCCCCCAGCCAGCATGGTGGCAAGCTCCTGAGCCCCTTGGGAGCTGAATGAGAGCCGAGTAGTCCCCAAGGCCCATTGAGAAAGCCCAGCCCGGGAGCCCATCCGCCATGGCAACAGCCCATCCATCCATGGTCCTCGGGCTTTCCCACCGGCCTGGGGCCGGGCCCTGCTCAGGGGCCACTGGCAGTGTGACATGAGACCGAGTCTCTGCTTCCTCATGCAGGCAGGCAGGTAGGCTGGAGGCCTAGATGCGGCTGGACGAGGTGCTGCCCGAGCTGATGGGGAGCCTGGCGCTGTCGGAGCTGCTCTTCAGAGGGGAGGGGCCGCCCTGGGCCTGCAGCCGCATGGACCAGTACCAGAGGAAGATGAGGAAGCCTGCAGGCAGGGAGGGCACGTGCTCAGCAGTGGGGGAGCCGAGCCCCGCCCCTCCCTCCTCCTCCGTCCACAGCCACCCCACCACCAGTGTTTGCCCAGCACGGGCTGTCGGGCACCCAGGGGACCCAGCCGCACTGTGCTAGGTCCCTGTGTGGCCTCTCACTGTGTCACGAGCCTCCTGCAGACCCATCCTAGTCATTACTCTTCTCTTTTGTAAACAAGGAAACGAAGGCCCAGGAGGCCCGGGTAAGGGGACGTGGCTGAGCCAGGGCTCAAACGGTGTGAACAGGCTCTGGAGCCCACCCCCTTACTCCCTGTGCAATTTTGCAACCCCCAAATTACTAGGACTCTAAGGTCTTCCCAGCGTAGCAGATGTCTGTGGGAATGGATGGGCCTCACTCCCAATCCTGAGTCCCCTGCGTCTCACAGGCAGGAATGAAGGCCTGAACGCTAAATAACTAAAATTTGGTAACATCTCCCCACCACCAACTCTCAGCTCCCATTCTAGGGTGACCCTGTATGGGAGGCTGGCCTTGAGCCCCATGTGAGCCCCTGGGCCTGGTCATACACCCCCTCCCATTCTGCACGGCCAGGAACAGGGGTGTGCCTGCCTGTGTGTGCATCTGAATACACACACACACACACAGGTACGCACCCAGGAAGGGACCCGGTTGGCATCAAGCCAGGGCCCTCATGACCCCACCCCGGGATCTTGCCCCTTCACCCCTGACCCACTGCCCTCTGGCCACGCTCTCCTTCACTGTCCCTCTTACACACAGCCAGTTCCAGCCTCAGGACATTTGCTCCTCTTTCTCTCTCCACCTGGTGCTTCCTTCCCCTAGACCAGGGCTCCTGAACCTATCCTGTGCATGTGTCCCCTTGGGCATTTGTGAAAATGCAAAGTCTGACACCGCAGGGCCCGGGTGGCCCAGAGGCTGATTTTCCAATAAGCTCCCAACAGCGCTGCTGCTGGTCCCACACCTGAAGTAGGGAGGCCCTCCATCCCCCCACAGTGGGGTCTTTCTGTTGTCTTCACGTCTCCTATCCAGAGAGGCCTCCCTGGCCACCCTTCTTAGGGTGTCCCCTACCCCAGCCCAGGCCCTGTACAGCACGGGCTCGCAACGACTTCTCGACTATCTGGGACCACTTTTGATGGCTACACACTTGCCCACTGAGGCCCAGTCTTCCCCACTAAAGCTGAGTTGCATGAGAGCAAGGCCCACACCCAACCAGCTCAGCCATAGCTGTGTGGCTTAGCACAGGGCCTGCACATAGTAGGTGCTCAATAAAGACTTGTCCACTATGGCCTGGATGTCCCCATTTTATGAATGGCATGACTGAGGCCTAGAGAAGGGAAACCTTCAGGTTCCCCAGGTGATCTCTTCCCTGCCCTGTGCTCCATGTGTGAGCACCCTGCCTGGGCCAAGAGACGGGTCTTCTCCTTACCTTGGAAGGAGGTGATGATGCTGAAAAGGTAGAGGACGACAAGCTGGAAGGTTCCGGAAGCAAAGGAGAAGAAGATCAAGGCCCAGGGCAGGCCAAGGACGAGGCTGAGGCCCAGCAGCGTTAGCACGTGTGACCACTTTTGGGTGTGGGGGCGCAGCCGCAGGATGTGCACCACCATGGTGCACAGCATGGCCGTGTTGAACAGAAACACCAGGCTGAAGAGGCCCAGGTTGGTGATGTAGCTGACCAGGGAGTCCCGGATCCAGCACCTGCAAGTAAGGGCCGGGGGCTCAGTGCGCGGCCAGCAGGGGCGGCATTCCCGGGCTGTGCTGGTCCTGTTTGTTTTTACGATTATTCACTGTTTACAGCAAGTGCTGCTTGTTTACTACTTACAGTGCTGATGCAATCTTAAAAATACATTTACGTCAACAAGTTGGATTGTTTAAAGGAAAATATTAAGTAAGTAATAATATAGATAGTACAAAAGTGAGGCAGAAATCACTGGGTCACAACGTGAAGGGCTGAAAATTTCAAAGCCACTGAGCCGTTGGGAAGGACCCTTCCCAGCCTGGAGCTCAGGAACCCTGGCTTCCAGGCGGGGCTCAGGGGATCTACAGGCAGGGCCACTGCCAGCCTGGGAGAATCAGGGAGTGGAGAAGGACTGGACTTCAGCCCCACTCACCCCCTGCCTTTGAACAGCACACTGGCCTCAGGGTGGCCAAGAGTAGATCCCTCCCCTCCTGGAGCCTCCGTCTGTCCCATGGGAAACAGAGTGCGGGAGGCTCATCTGCTTCAACCCATGCGCCCATTCACGCATGAGGGAACGGAGGCTCAGAGAAGCCGGCGCCCGTGCAAGGTCACCTGGGGAGTGAGTGCTGGATCCAGGCCTTTTCTCAGCCCCATGACTCTTTTTTTTTTTTTTTTTTTTTTTTGGGACGGAGTTTCACTCTTGTTACCCAGGCTGGAGTGCAATGGCTCGATCTCGGCTCACCGCAACCTCCACCTCCTGGGTTCAGGCAATTCTCCTGCCTCAGCCTCCTGAGTAGCTGGGATTACAAGCACGCACCACCATGCCCAGCTAATTTTTTTGTATTTTTAGTAGAGACAGGGTTTCACCGTGTTGACCAGGATGGTCTCGATCTCTTGACGTCGTGATCCACCCGCCTCGGCCTCCCAAAGTGCTGGGATTACAGGCTTGAGCCACCGCGCCCGGCCCCATGACTCTTAAACCAGTGCTCCGGCCACTGCCAGGCCAATTCCTTGAGGAGACTGGAACCCAGGTGTCTCCTGGCCAGCATGACCTGGGCTGCTCCCTGGCCTCCGCACCCAGAGATCCACCTCCCTGCCCCCATCGCACACAGCCACTCACATGGAAGGGTAGATGACACTCTCTGGAGTCCTATGCACAGCCAGGATGATGGGGCCATAGTTGTCCACATCCACCAGGGCCACCAGCGTCACCAGAAAGATGGGGAAGCCTGAGGGTGGCAAAGCATGGTGCTCCATCTCCTGCTATCTGAGGCCTGCCCCTTCCCTGCTGGCCTCAGGGGATCTGAAGGGCGAGGCCCCCTCTGAAGTCTGGGCTCCCGAAGCCCACCCAGCCCCATCTGGTGGAGAAGTTCTCCCAAGCTTGGACCCTCCCCTTCCCTATTCCAGCTTGGGTTTTCTATAAGGGGAAGCCATCTCCTCCAACCTTAGCTCTGCCCTTCGTCAGCCTGGGGGCCCCTGGGAGAAAGGCCTGTGGGTCTCTGCTGCAGGGCTGAATGTCAGGGGGAGATGGGAGGGGCAGACAGTTTAGGAGGGACAGCAAGAGTTCTGCCTTCAGGGACTGTCTGCACTAGACCTTGACCTCACCCATTAGGTGGAGATTGGAAGCTCCCTAGAGGAGGCTGCCTACCTCCAGACACAGCATCCTGACACAGAGCCACCTCCAAAGGAATTTCATGCAAATGGGGGAGTGGACAACGAAGGGGCCCAATGACCAACCCATGAGGAGCAGCAAGCTGGGGTCAGGGGCATGCGGAGGCTAGGGGTCTGTGCAATGTCCAAACAGACTTGTGGCATCAGGAGCCCCTGGGCTCTGGGTCTGACATAAGACGGCTGGGCCACAGGGGAATTGACAGTCACTGGCCAAGAACAAAGTGCCAAAGCCACAGGGAATCTGTTACCCGAGGTCCCGTGGGGTCCAGAGGCAGAGCCATTGCCAGTCTGAGTGACTAAATGAGTGGAGCGGGATTTCAGCCCCACCGATCTCTGAACTGGGTGCCTTTGAGCAGTGCACAACCTGCACATTCACACATGGTGGACCTGCTCATAAAGCCCCTTTGTAACAGAGTGAGTGATGTGGAGAGTTTGGAAGTGTTTCTTGGGGACAGGGCTCACCACTTCCTCCTAAAGGGGACATTGACCCAGCCAAGATGAAGGACACCTGAGGATGAGTGAAGGAAGCCAGAGAGATAGGTGGAGAGGCAGGAGCAGGTGCCTAGGTTTTGCCAGAGCCACGTGGGAGAGGCAGGTGTGGGGCCCCGCCCACTTACCCCAGCCCAAGGCACTCAGCTTGAACAGGTAGCCAGGGACGTAGGTGCCGAAGACCTCTACCACAAGTCGGTAGAGATTGTAGCCCTCGAGGCCCATCCAGGAGAGGCAGGTGAGCAGGGAGAAGTGCAGGAAGATGGCGCTGGCACGGCAGCCGGGCTCCGAGGCCGTCAGGGCCACTGGCTCGCTGAGCAGGAAGCTTACGTCCAGCAGGAAGACGGCCAGCAGCAGGTTCATGTGCACCTTGATGGTGTAGTCCCGAGGTTTCCTCCTGCATGGCAGGGATACCCTGGTGGGCCAGTGTGGGAAGGTAGAGAGGGGAGTATGCCCACATCTCCTCCAGGAAGCTTTCCCAGACTGCCCCCCCCAGACACACACACACACACACACACACACATATACACACACACACACACACAATCATACCCTCCCCCATCCTGCTCCTGTGGCTGCAGCCAACCTGCTCCCCACATCCCCCTGTGGACCTACTGTGTGCCTAACACCCATAGACTCAGGCACCAGGTGCACGTTTAACAGAAGCCTCAGCCAGGCAGAGCGATGAAGAGAAATCAGCCACTACAGTAAACCAGACACTCCCAAAGTCGGAGAGAAAGCACTGGCATTTCTACCGTGTTGGAGAATCCATACCATCCATGTTCCGTGTCTGCCCATCTGTCTGCACAGCCGTGCGTCTGTGAGTCTGAGTGTGGGCTGTGAGCATCAGTCTGTCTGCTGGTTTGCAAGTCAACGTGTGCACATCCCACCCCAACCCCCACTCCAGGATTCTACGTGGCCCTTGAGGGTGTGGCAGAATATGCAGGCCCCAGCGTCACCATCCAGGAGTCCCACCCCGCCCTGCCCCTAACTCAGGGCACCATCTTGAGCTGGTCCTTTCCCCTTGAGACTCACTTTACCCATCTGTGAAGTGTGAGGATGGTGCCTTCATAGGGTCGGGGTGAGAGTTACGCTGATACAAAGCATCAGGCACAGATAAGGCACTCAGTTCCTAAGGGTGCCTGGTGTCCTTGAGCATGGTTGTGAGTAGCCAGGTGTTGGGAGTTTCTGCCCGCACCCCCAGCCTTCCACTGAGCCCATCTCATCACCCAGCTGTCCTTCCTCATCACCATCACCTACTTAGCTCCCCGGGTGCACAGCTGTGCACACGCATGACAGTCATATTTACACACACATGCTCGTGCACACACATGACAGTCATACACACATGTTCGTGTACACGCATGACAGTCACACACACATGTTCGTACACACATGTCACACACATGCTCATGCACATGCATGACAGTCATATATGCACACATGCTCATGCACATGCATGACAGTCATATACACATGCTCGTGCACACACATGACAGTCATACACAATGCTCATGCACATGCATGACAGTCATACAATGCTTGTGCACATGCACGACAGTCATACACACAATGCTCGTGCACACGCATGTCATATACACACACATGCTCATGCACATGCGTGACAGCCATACACACATGCTCGTGCACATGCATGACAGTCATATACACACATGCTCATGCACATGCATGACAGTCATACACACATGCTCGTGCACATGCATGACAGTCATATACAGACATGCTTATGCACACGCATGACAGTCATACACGCAATGCTCATGCACATGCATAACAGTCATATACACACACACGTTTGTGCACACATGAGTCATACACACATGCTCATGCACACGCATGACAGTCATACAATGCTCGTGCACACGCATGACAGTCATACACACATGCTTGTGCACATGCATAACAGTCATATACACACATGCTTGTGCACACACGACAGTCATATACACACACATGCTCATGCACACGCATAAACACAGCTTCACCTTCCTCTCCTCCTTCTTCGTGCCTGGGGATAGTGAGAACTGAAGGTGTCCCTCCTCTCCCCAAATGGACTCAGCACTGAGGGCAAGCGCACCCCAATTTAGGCCAAGCCAAGCACTGACAATCTGACAACCTCTGCCAATTCCTCGCCGTGTGACCTCAGGCAAGTCACTTACTCTCTCTGAGCGTTCCTTCATAGGGCTGTTGTGAGGATGCACTGAGCTGACGTGGGTAAAGCACTAAGGACAGGGCATGGCACGTGGGAAGTTTGGCACGTGTTAACTATCATCGTTATCTCGGGGATATGATTCTGTGCACCAGCGCTCTCGCAAATCTGCTTATTCAAAGGCAGAAATGAAGATTCTTTTTTTAAATTTTTTGTTTTGCTTTCCCGTCTTACTCCAGGAACAGATTCTTGGGTGGACTCTCTCCATTTTAAATGTTGAAAATTAGCTGGGCGCGGTGGCTCACGCCTGTAATCCCAGCACTTTGTGGGGCTGCGGTGGGTGGACCACCTGAGGTCAGAAATTTGAGACCAGCCTGAGCAACATGATGAAACCCCATCTCTACTAAAAATACATAGATTAGCAGGGCATGGTGGTGGACACCTGTAGTCCCAGCTACTTAGGAGGCTGAGGCACAAGAATCACCTGAACCCAGGAGGCAGAAGTTGCAGTGAACCGAGATCGTGCTACTGCACTCCAGCCTGGGCGACAGAGCAAGGCTCTGTCATACATACATACACAAAATGTTGACAATTAGTTAAAATGTGTAATTGCTATGTTACCAAAACACCACAGATCTGAGGAGGAGCCGTGGCCCCCAGGGGTCAGCACACTGTACCCCCCACAGCTCCCCTAACCACACACACAGTTCCAGGGCATTCGGGCAGGCCAATCCCAGGAGCAGGTCTCCACGGCTGCAGGCCCCGGCGGGGGAGTATACCATGGAGGGCCCCTCCCCTGTCCCACCCCCTCAGGCCTCACCTGGACCAGAGGTAGGCGGCGATGGTGACGACGCAGGCCAGGGCAGAGATGACACAGCCCACGTAGGAGAGGAGGCTCAGGTAGTGCCTGTGCACAGCGTCCAGCTCCACCGAGGACACCTGGCCGCAGGAGACAGGTGAGGGCTGGCCTCCATGTCCTCCACCCAACCTGCAGGCTTGCCCTGTGTGCCGGGCTAACCTGGGGTCCCTGGTGGGCCTAAGAACCTCCTCTCCCAACTGAGCAGAATGTGGTCCCATGAGTGAATTTTTCTGGAGTGGGGGCATCTTCAGATTTGACCACATTCTCGAGCGGCTTCTTGACCCACAGAGGCCAAGAACCCTTCATGAGAGAAGCCCTATTCTGTCCCGGCACTGATTACTCCTCTATAACATTTAACATGGGAATAGGTTTCCTGGGAGGGAATGAGCTTCCCGCACCCGGGGGTATCTAAGCCCCAGCTGGACCCCCACAGGGAAAATCCTACAATTCTGGGATCATGAATTCTGAGGTCTTGGGGGCACTGGAGGCCACCTCAGGGGCCTTATTAGAAACACTCTTGGCCTCAGCACTGCCAAATCAGAACCCCAGGTGAGGGCCAGGAATCTGCATTTTAGCACACATCAAAATTTGGAAATAAAGAGCTGGCTTTATAAACCAGCTCTTTCACTGACTAGCTGTGCGGCTGCAGGTACACTGCTGAACCTCTCTGCGCTTGGCACATAATAGAAGTGACCTCGGAGGGCTGTTATGAGGAATAAATGACTGATGTGTGAAAAGTGCCCGCACAGAACAAGCACATGGCCTGGGGTGCGGCCACGAGGCAGGAGTGGGGACCCTCACCATCAGCACTGCGAAGTAGGTCAGGTGGTTGCAGAAGCAGGACGTTTGCGTTTCTCTCCTGATGGTCTCACACCCAGCACTGCTCCAATGCCCGGGGCTGCCCACTGAGGAGGGGACAGCATGCGGCTCCAACCAGACCCAGTCCCCCAGGGCCCCACTGTGCCCACCCCCAAAAGCACGACTGCGGCATGCCACCCAGCGTACCCAAAGCCTGCCATTGCCCTCTCTTCAAAGTCCACCTTTCTCCAGGAAGCCCTCGGTGATTAACTCCACCTCCCCCTTCCCCCCCCATCCCCGCCGGACTCCATTTCTCTTCCAAATACTTGTCCGGCCCAGGGACCCCTGCATACTCACGTGTCGGGTCTTCAACCCAGAACACACACTGCAGGGTCACATTCTTCTGTAGGGACAAGAAAAACAGAGTGGATTCTGTAACAGTCCCCCTTTACGGGCCAGGCAGAGGAAGCCTAGAACACAGTCAAGCCACCACCTGCCCCATTTGGACCTGACTGGCTGGAGCCCTCAACCAGGCAATCTTTCGTTATAAAGACAAATGAGTCTGGAGGGCAGGAGAGGAAAGGGTGACATGGCCAAGAAGGGACGCTTGTCCCCATGACGGCTGGCCCCACTCACCGGCTGTGGCTGGTGCTGGAAGGTGAGCACCACGGGCTCCGTGAGGTTGGCCACTTTGGTGTTCTGCACCACAATCCCCAAGACCTTCTCACCCAGGACTTGGCTGGAATTCTTGTCCTAGATACATGGGGTTCAGGGAAGAGAGTAGGGAGGGAGCTCAGGGCTGAGAAGAAGGGCCCAGAAGCCCTTACCCTATCTAGATAACTCTCTCCCAGCATATTCCCTTGAGATGCCGAGTCCCCCTCTGGAACCAATTGTGCCCATGTAGTCATTTACACTATAGTAAGAACAACATTGCTTGGCCCTCTCACAGGGAGATTTGCACATTGCCGTGCAATTCCTGACTTTACAAGGGAAGGCTCTGATTCCCAGAGGAAGGAGCTCATCTGCATGCCTTCTTTCCACCTCTGTCCGACAAAAAGTGCTTTCCCTGGGGAGCCATGAGGGTGAGGGCCTCGTACCTGAAACAGGGCTTGGCTACTGAAATCCACCAGGAGGAGCCTCTTCTCAGTCTCCCGCCTCCCGCTTCTGGTCCTCTGGAAGAGCGATCGAGGCAGCCTCACCGAGTACTCCAAGATCTCGCTCTGCTCCTCCTGCAGACCAGGGTCCCTTTAGGGCTCAAACGCACACACCCAGATCCATGCCCCCCGCCCCAGCACACACACACCCATCCCGTCCTGGACACTGCCACCCCTAAGCCCATTTCTTCAGGAAGCCAAGCCTGACTCATGCCAGCCCTCCCTTCCTTGCTCCCAGCTCTGGCTGGGGAGCCCTGTGGTTGGACTCCAGGAATCCAGGGCAAATAGGCTGGGGAGAACCACGTGGTGTTGTGTTGTCTGGGGCTTCAGATGCCAGCTCTGCCCATAGCAGCCAGGTGGGGGGTGGCCATGTGGGCAGGGCGCATGGTTCCCAGGTAACCAGAGCCACTCAAGGGGAAGTCTCAAGACATGGGGGCAGCTGGGCACAGGGGCTCATGCCTATAAGCCCAGCACTTTGGGAGGCCAAGGTGGGAGAACTGCTTGAACCCAGGAGGTCAAGACAACCTGGGCAGCACACCTATCTTTACCACTGTATATATATATATATATATTTGAAACAGAGTCTTGCTCTGTCACCCAGGCTGGAGTGCAGTGGCGTGATCTCGGCTCACTGCAACCTCCGCCTCCCGGTTTCAAGCAATTCTCCTGTCTCAGCCTCCCAAGTGGTTGGGATTACAGGCACACACTAACACACCCGGCTAGTTTTTGTATTTTTAGTAGAACCAGGGTTTTACCACGTCAGCCAGCCTGGTCTCAAACTCCTGCCCTCAAGTGATTTGCCTGCCTCGGCCCCCCAAAGTGCTGGGATTACAGGCGTGAGCCACTGTGCCTGGCCTTACAAAGAGCTTTTTTTTAAGCCAGGTGTGGTGGCAAGCCTGTAGTCCCAGCTGCTCATGAGGCTGAAGTGGGAGAATCGCGTGAGACCGGGAATTTGGGGCTGCGGTGAGATATGATTTTGCTACTGCACTCCAGCCTGCATGACAGAGCAAGACCCTGTCTCAAAAAAGAAAAAGAGAAAAAGACAGGGGTGCATGGCAGGCGTTCAGGAGCCGGCCTTCCGTTCACACGGCTGGCCCCAGGAGACTGGCATGGGAATCAGGTCCTGCCACTGTGCCAGGCGGGGTCCTCAATTCCATGGTTGAGCTACTGACTGAGGATGGCTATCTATCCTCTGGCCTGGAACCTTCCCGGGTGACCCTGGGGAGAGGCTATGGGGGCTACTGAGCTTCGGGGAGTGCTCACAGCCCCACCTCCTGGCAGCCAGGCCCAGCCCGCACCTGCCTCCCGCCCAGGCTGGCCCCTGACCTCCTGCCGGGAGTGGATGTGCAGGTCCTGCAGGCCGGCGGTGGGCTGGAGCTTCCATACAGTGGCATTGACCCGGTCCTCCTCAAAGGACACTGTGTCCCCCACAAACCTCACGGAAGTCAGCTTCGACTCCAGGTTCTGCAACTGCCTGGCAGGGAGGAGAAAGCGGCAGTGACGGTGGGGAGGGGCCGGCTGGCAGCTAGATGGGGGCAGGAGGAGAGACTCAGACAGAGAGAGGGGCGGGGGTGGGCAGGAGAGTGTGGAGAGCCGGCAGAAGAGAAACGCTGGCACCTGAGCGCTGGAGAGAAAGAATGAGCTGGGGAGGGGCAGACAGAGGAGGCGGGGCCTGGGAGCCACAGGAAAGGAGAGCGATGGGGTGGTGGGGGCCGTCCTTGGAGTCAGCACAGCAGGTTCAAGCCCAGCTCTGTCTGTGCCAACCCACTCTGTGGCCTTGGATTGGCTCTGCCGTCTCTGAGCCTCGGTCTGCTGGGCTGTGCCATGGACCACCCGTCCCTCCTTTATGTGGGGGAGGAGGGCTTCGGATGGCGGGTGCCCGTTTGGTTACTGACTCAGGAGAGGGGTTCTGCCTGGGGGGCGTGTGCTGACTCCCAGTGGAAGGAAAGAGAATCAAGGAAGCATTCCAGCCCCAGGGAAGGCCTCCCGGTGCCCCCCACTCCAGGTCCAGAGCTCTGATCCCTTCCTGGCTCCCCCTGCTGCCCCGGGCACCACACTTACTGGCTGGCAGGGGTGGCCGAGGGCCTCCTCGAGGCCTTCTGGGGATGCTTCAGGAACTGGCTGAGCAGCTGGAGGTCCCTTTTGAGCTCGCACATGTCCACTGAGGCATTGTGAGCTGCCGTGTGGGGAGAACCTGGGGAGGGTGGACAGGCCCCCCACCGCGGCTGCTGATTCAGGTCCCAGGACCCTCCCATTCTGCCCCATGCCACCCCGACATGACTCTGAATGCCTCGATCCTTACTCTACAAAGGGGAAACTGAGGCTTCAAGAAGTGGAGTGGAGGCCGGGAGCAGTGGCTCACTCCCATAATCCCAGCACTTTGGGAGGCCAAGGCAGGTGGATCACCTGAGGTCAGGAATTTGAGATCAGCCTGGCCAACATGGTGAAAACAAATCTCTACTAGAAGTACAAAAAAATTAGCCAGGCGCCTGTAATCCCAGCTACTCAGGAGGCTGAGACGGGAGAACTGCTTGAACCCAGGAGGCAGAGGCTGCAGTGAGCCAAGATCGTGCCATTGCATTCCAGCCTGGGCTATAAGAGCGAAACTCCATCTCAAAAAAAAAAAAAAAGAAGTGGAGTGGACACTGCCAAGGTCACTCAGATGAGGCCAACCCAGGGGCTGAGTCTTACAGAACCCGCCAGCAACGCCAGCCCCAGCAGGACGAGGTGGGATGCTCCCTGCTCAGCAGCCTCCGCAGGCGCCCTCAGCTACACACACGGAACAGGGAGGGCCCAGCCAGGCCTGCTTAGGAGGGACACAGGGGGCTTGGTGATGGTTCCTGGGATTCCACACCCACCACCTCCCTGACCCCAGGCTTGGCCCCTCTGCCCAGGTAGCCTGCACCCAAAGGAGACTGACTCAGGTATCTCCAGGGATTAGGTGGGACTCAGATGAGGAAGACAGACAGTGGAGGCTGGGGGGTATACTTTCGGTGCCACTGAGGAAGGCAGGCCCTGCGTAGCCCAATCTTTTGAATGTATCACCCAGAGAGCCTGAGTTTTAGGTGATTTGGAAACTCTAGTGCATGTTTTAAAAAACCCTCTACTGGCCAAACAAGTCTGGTCTTCAGAATGCCAATTTGTAACTAGGACTGACTTTGCCCTAAATCCTCCCAGATTGGGAGCAGAAGCCCAGCCTGGGGTGTGGGGACCCCCCGGGGGGTCTGCCCTGGCCCCTGCCTGTTGCATTGGAGATGATCAGTTAGCCTGTCACACGAACATAATCAAAGTGCTGTGCCCCCAACCCCTGACAGCCCTGCCATAAACTTGAGGTGCTGGAGAGACATGAAAGCCCCCCGGTAAACCCTCAAGCTCCTTCTGATGCTCCTCCCTGCCTGGCCTCCACTCAGCATTGAATGGTGCTGAAAGGTGGTGGCCACATGGTACCTGTCACACTCCAGGGCGAAGATGCAGCTTCTGGACCTGAGTCAGCCCCACCCCACTGCTCTCCTGACCTTTGACCTCTCATGCTCCACCTTGACCCCCCACTCCCCTCCAATCAGCTGCTGGATTCAAATCCTGGCTCCCCCATTGGCTAGCTGTGCCCCTGTGGGCAGCCTTTCTGTGCCCCAGTTTCCTCCTCTGTGAAATGGGAATAAACAATCTACACTGATGCTGAGGAAGAATTCTTCCTTGATCTTCACTCTGTTTCGAGTGTCTGCTCTCCCACCCTGTTCAGACCTCATCCTCCTTCTCCAAGACCTCTGCAGCCTCAGGATGGACCCTTGCCCCTCCATCCTCACCCCTGCCTGCCCACAAAATAACCATCAAGGGACAGTGGGGCCAAGCGCGGTGGCTCATGCCTGTAATCCTAGCACTTGGATCACTCTCCTCCCCTCCTCAGACACCTTCAATGGCTCCCCAGTGCCTGTGAGTAAAACCCAAGTTTCACGATCTGACATTGTGAACCCAGTCCACTTTGCGATTTGCCTTCCCTGCCCCCGGACCACCGCCCAGTTGTTCCCTCTGCCTGGAAGTTGCCTTACTGTGAAAGGAGAAGGTGAACCTGGCGGCACTGGGCAGGCTGATGTTCTGAGGGCTCCACCAGGAGGTGACAGAGGTGGCAAACAGCGGGAGACCCGGGGCCAGGCTCTCCTCTTGGTGCTGGAAGCAGAGGAGGCTAGAGGCTTTGTCACTCAGCAGGAAGTCATGCTTGCCATAGAGAAGATGCAATCTCCCAGCGTGTCGGTTCCAGTAGAGGCAGAAGTGGTAGAGGCCCCTGGGTTCGGGGAAGGATCGGGAAGCAGAGTGGGCTGCAGGGAAGGGGGCGTGGACTGTGAGGGCCTCCTCGGAGTTCTCGATGGAGATGCGCAGGTCTGGCGTGGGTTTGTAGCGGAGGCTGCTCCTGTGTGTCTGGTTCCGCTGGCCGCAGAAGCGAAAGTCTTCCCTGTGGCCCCTGCTGTGGGCACCTGAGGAGGCAGAGGCTGCAGATGGCACCCTGTGGTAGGGGCTGAGCAGAAGCAGGGAAGGGGACAGGCCTTGGGCTGAGAACATGTGAACCTAGAGCCTGAGACTCACACACATTCCAAGGGTCTACAAAAACGTGTTAGTCTTTCCCACTCAAAACTTACCGGCATCAAAATATAAAAAGAGGAAACTGAAAACGAATAGTAATTTCAAAGGCAAAACAAATTTTTAAGAGCAATGAAGTAATTTAATGAGGCCATGGCTGCCATGGACGGTTGTGCAGGTGATACACTGCACAAAAATGCTCTGGCTGCAAAGGTGAGTGGGGTAGTGTCCCATCCATGTTCCATACCCTAAGCTGTGCACGGCAGGGCTGCGTCTACCAAAAGGAAGGAGAGTCTTTCTTTTCTCCAAGGTATCCTCCCTAGCTGAGCTGTACCTGCCTAAAGGAGTGCTGGCAGCCACCCTAGGCACGGAGGCATTTTAACGTAAGTCCCAACAGCCCCGGGGCACCCCTGGGAAGACCTGCCTTGGACCAGGAAGAGCAGACTCAGCAGGAGCAGTGGCCTCTGCAGGAGCCACTGGGCAGTCATCCTCCTTCCACGAAGTCACTCTTGGAAGTCACCACCTGGAAGAGGCCAGGAATGTTAGCCGGCAGTCTAGACTGTGTGGGGGTTGGGCTGGTCCTGCAGAAGAGGAGGCCAGCGTCGCATGGATGTGGGAGGTGAGGTGGAAAACAGCCCGTGGACCTCCCCAGAGCGGCCAGAAACTGATCTTCAGGAGGCAGTGGGGCCGGGCGCGGTGGCTCACGCCTGTAATCCCAGCACTTTGTGAGGCCGAGAAAGGAGGATCACTTGAGCATAGGCGTTTGGACCAGCCTGGGCAACACAGTGAGACCCTATCTCTACGATAAATAAACAAAATTAGCCAGGTGTGGTGGGCATGCCTGTGGTACCAGCTACTAGAGAGGCTGCGGTGGCAGGATCACTTGAGCCCAGGGAGTCAAGGCTGCAGTGAACTATGACCGCGCCTGCAATCCAGCCTGGGTGACAGAGTGAAACCCTGCTGGAAAAAAAGGAAAAGAGGTGGTGGCTGTCCAGAGTCCAGCTGAGTTCCAGTCTCAGGTCCGCCGTTTGCCTGCTGCAGCACCTTGTCACTCAAAATCGGGCTAACCATAATGCCTCTCTCCTGGACCCAGAGTGACCGGCTGATCTTGTCTAGAATCTGGTGGTGAGGGTTCCACTTGGAACTGCCACCACCTTGCCCCTCCATGCCTGGAGGGAACACAGAAAAAAGGGGGCTACCAGAGTTCTCCCCAGCTACCTCCCTATCATCATTCCTGAGACTTAGCTCAGAGGACACCTCCTCCAGGAAGCCCTCCCCAACTCCCTCCACAATCAGTCCCAGCCTCCTTTGGTTCCCACCACTGGCCAAAACCCCTCCCCACCCCCCATTAGCCTCCTCCAGGTAGTGGGAGATGGTGTGTTCCCTCCTCCTCCGTCAGCCAGGGAGCACCTGATCCATCTCTGGGAGCAGGGCCTGGCATAGAGAGGTTGCTGGATAAAGGCTGTGGGGACGGAGAGTGAGGGAACTAAAGGATCAATGTATCCACGGCGCCCTCTACAGGAGCCAGGAGGGAAGGGCGCTTCCTATCATGACCGCCAGGGGGAGGCAGTTTCCCGGGCCTGGAGCAAAGGAACCAGTCTCCACTAAGGACCAGGACTCGGTATTGCCCCAACCTGGCATGGATGGGGCACATCTGACCCTCCGAGCTCTCTATTAACTGAGCGCCTGCTATCTGCCAGCCTCTGTGTTGACATGTCCCACCTCTGCATCTCTGCACTGATTCTCACTCCAACCCTATGAAGTGGGTACTGCTGTTGGTCCATGGCACAGATGGAGAAACTGAGGCCCAGGAGTCAAATGACTTGCTCCAAAATGCTCCCGAGGCCAGGGACTTTCTCTGCCTGGTCAGGAGTGTAGTGCCTGGAGGGGAACCTGCGGGGCTGGCACTTGTAGAATTGCCAGGAGGCTTGGCCCTCCCTATGACCAGCTGGCCCTGTGGCAAAGCTGGGGGTTCACAGACAGGCAACCTCATCCTGTGTGGCATGGCAGCTGGCTGCAGGGACAGAGGACCTCACTGGCCACAAGCCAGAGAATACACACAGAGTATGAGTTTGAGAGAAACCAAGGAGGACTTTCAGGAAGAGGTGGCTTTGGAAGTGAATCATTGAGGGAAGCATTAAAGGGAGGGGTGTCCCAGGCAGGAGCTGAATATCTCCTTCCTAGGCCAGTCCTCCCTCGAACAAACCTGGCCCCTTCAGTCGAGAGCCAATCCCCTGAGTCCCACCATATGGAATGGAACCCCAATTTCTCAGGCCTTGTCGTTCAGTCGTAGGTCAGACAGGCTCATCATCTGCCGCTGATGGCATCACAGGACCCTCTGAGAAGAAGGATGTGGAAGGTGTTTTAGGGAGGGGCGCCATTTCCCAGGTTGTGATTTGTAAGGTTTCGCTGTGTCTTCTCTCAGCATTTTGATTCCTTTTGAAACTACCTCCTGCCAGCGGAAGGAAACTCAACATCCAGGGACAGGGACACGTCCCTCCCAGACCCCCTCTTTCTTTCTGCTTCCTGTCAGTCTCTGTTGCTGTCCCCCTGGTTGTCAGTCCAAATGCCACTTCCTCCAAGCAGCCCTCACTGCTACCACAACTCTCCACCTGTAAACTCGAAGCTGACCAATCATTTGGAGACTTTGGATCCAAGGCCCAAAGAGGGCCAGTGACCTCTCAAGGTCACACAGCAAGCAAGGAGGGAACCGACCAGAATCCACGCATCTCCCTGGCTCACTGACCTTCAAAGTCAGTCAGAACCACTGCCTCACGTTAGCCCTCCTGGATTGGCTCTTGAGAATAAGGGAGGGAGTACAGGTAGTGAGCTCCCCATCACTGGAAGGAAACAAGTGAAACAGTACCAACATGGGGTGCCATGGAAGAAATCAGGACACACACAAGGACCAACTGTCCCCGCCACTTCCTGAGCCATCCCCACTCCACCTCAGCTGTTTGAACAACTACTCCAAGGTGGACAGCTCTGGCCCCATCAACATGCTTGAGGTTTGAGGGGGAAGAGCTGCCTGGCTTCCTTTAACCCATGGGGTAGACTCTAGAGCCAGACAGCCTGGGTTCAAATCCTGACTCGCTCACTAGCTGTGTGTCCTTGGGCTAGTTACTCACCCTCTCTGGGCCTCGTTTTCCTCACTTGTAAAGAATAATATAGAAATCAAGCTCACCTCAAATGTCACTGTGAGAATTAAATGAATAGATACCTGTAAAGGTCTTAGAGACAGGGGCCAGGAATCTCCGCTAAGTAACTCCATACTTTCTAACCAGTTCATGCCTGCTCCTAACTCGGCCCCCTGGGCCTGTCACAGGCCCCTCCTCCCTGTTTCCCGCTCTTCCGTGCCACCCCTAGCAGCCAGCTCACCCACTGGAGCACCTTGAGGGGAAATTCTTACTGCATGAAGTTTCCTTTCCGGGAGTCCAGTGGAAGGCTGAAACCCCACCCAGAAAACTTCCCTCCCCCAGAAGGCCCTGGAGGCAGGAGAGTTGGGCTGGGGACAAGAAAGTTGCCATGCAGATTGGGCAGGGGGAGGCACCATCCTGCTTGTCTGCTTAGCGCCCTTCCTTCACCCCTGCCTCTGCCACCCGTCCAGGTCAGCCCCACGCACACACACCTGCCACCTGCCCACGCACCCACCCAGGTGCCAGGATACAGCATGAGCCTCTGCACAGACTCCTGGGACCTGACGTGTCTCAGCCTCTGCAGCTTCGGAACCCCAGCGCTGTAGGGCCTGTCCTCACGCTCAGTACCAACCACGGTCCCGAAGGCAAGGACCTCGTCTCGGCTCCCAGGGAGCCAGAGGGGGCAGCTGAGCAGAGGGTATTCTAGCAACAGCCCTACAATGATCATGTCAGTGGTGACATCCACGTAATCACACCAAACTCTCAGAACCATCGGGTAATTCGGGTCCCACGGCTACCATTTTACAGATGCGGACACTGAGGCTGGAGAAGGCTGTGTGTTCTCAGATCACGTGGGCTTAGGGCTGAGCCTCCCCCTCCTTGTAGAGCTGGCACTGGTAAAGGCCCCAGAGATGCACGTCCTCCCCGACCCCCTGGCTTTAGAATCCAGCCCCCCAAAGGGAAGGAGAGGAGCAGCACAGAGAATCCAGCCTGGAAACAGAGTGCTGGGGCCGAGGCCCAGGAAAGCCCCCACCACCCCCGCTGGCCCTCCAGAGCGGCCGCTTTCGACCTCAGACCTTCCGTAAACATGCACAGGACAGAACAGGCCGGCCCAGCCTGACACAATGGGGGCCACATCACGGGGTTCCCCAAGGATCTGGCAGAGTGGAGCACGGCCAGGGTTTGTCTGAGCTGAGACCCCACCCCACCCCCAGCCCATCCCCCAGGGCTCCAGCTCCAGTTCTGCACGGTGGGGGGTGAAGGGGGGGACCCACAGCTCACTTTCTCCCGGCGGAGTTGGGGGGGTGGCCTGAGTCACTTCCGTGTGGAGCCACGAGTCACCGCTACCCAGGCCAAGCTCCTGGAAAACCCATTTCCTCGGAGGATGGAGATGGAAGTTGAGTGGACGGACCTGGACGGCTCTGGGATTAACCTCTCCGCGTCTCCTGCCAGGAAGACTCCTGAACCTGGTCCCCCGCTGCTTCCGTCTTCCCTTTACACACAGCGGCCACCGCCCACCCCTGCACCAGGCATCCCACCCCAAGACCTTTGCCCCTTTCTGTCCCTTTGCCTTGGATGGCACCTAGCCCTGTGACATTCCACTCATCTTTGAGACGAGCTGAGACAAGCCCTCCCCATGAAGCCTCACCTGCCCGTCCATTCCTCACCAAAATTAACCCGCGTTCCTGCCGGCAGAGGCCCACCCTCAACACAACGTGCCCCCGCACCCTGCATTGCCACAGGCGCTCACATCCGAGGCTCCCAAGCCTGCCTGTGGGTCAGACCTCCCTCTGGGAATGCGCTAAAATGCAGATTCACAGGCCCGGCCCACAGAGCGTCTGATGGGTTGGGCTTGGGAGCTGGGCTTTAACAAGCATCTTGCTGATGGACATATGCAGGCTTGGGAACCGCGGGTTTATGAACCGGGGATAGGCACCAGCAGGTTTAGAGACTCAGGGAGGGGAGGGACCGGCCCGCAACCCCCAGCTGCTAGATGGCAGGGCCTGGACTGGGGGCCAGGGCAGCCTGCCTCCCAGCAGTGCGTTTTCCCTGCCCTGTGAGGCGGACCTGCCTGGTTCCTCTGTGGCTTCCCCTGTGGCTTCCCCTGCATTTCCCTGCCCTGTGACGTGGACCTGTCGGGCTCCTCTGTGGCTCCCCCAGCATTTAGCAGGGCCCTGGAAGGTGCCTCCTGAAAGACACTGTGCCTGTGCATGAATATATGTCTGTGCATGAGTGTGCATGTGCCTGTGCATGAATGTGTGCCTGTGCATGAGTGTGCATCAGTGTGCATGAGTGTGCGAGTGTGCCTGTGCATGAGTGTGTGTGCACGTGCATACGAAGGGATGCAGGGGGCCAGGAAGAGAATTCGAGAGAAGCCTGGGAACTGGGCAAGTTAGCTCCACAGAGGAGGAATGAGGGAGCCACTCAGACTTCAAAGGCGGGGAGGGCACAGGGCGGGCAAGGCACAGAGCCAAAAGCAGGGCTCCCGCAGGTGTTTCCTCCATGGAGGGCGAGGTGTGGGCTGGGAGGACTCTCCCTCCAACGGTTTCCAAACTTTTTTTATAAAAGTAAATCTTACTTGGAAATAGCATGTGCCCAACAGCTCAAAGGAAACATCCCTGTCAGACCCAGGTAGGACCCAGGGCCACACGCTACTCCCAGCCCAGTTCCCCGGCTCCTCAGCCACACCCAGGGTCCTGGGGTAACAGCCTCCAAAGGCCAAACCACTCCCCACCCCTATTCCCACTCCCTGAATGGGGCGACTGCAGCCCAAGCGAGGTGACCGCAGAGATCTCCCCAACAGGGGTGTTCCAGGATCACTGGGGGAAGCAGAGTGACTTCAGTTTTCAGGAATTTTCCTACAATAAAGGAGAATAAAATGAAGCAAGCTGCCTGCCTCGGAGGCTGGCGGGTGCCCAGGTCTGGCCCTCTCACTGCCCCGGGTGAGGCTCGAATTCCTTCACCAGACCTGCTGGACGCCCGCCCCGCCTCCACGCCACCAGCTCAGGCCTCACTGTCCCCATGGCTTCTGGTCTACCCAAGTCCTTGGGCCACAACTCCCTCTGCCTGCCCAGACACACCCTATGGGGAGACTGAGAAAGGGAAGAGCATTCCCTTTGGGGCATTCCCTGCCAGCCTGGGAGGGCATGGCAGGGCCTCTGAGTCCTCCCAGACAGCCAGTGGTACAAAGTCAGCCACCCTGCTGTCTCCCATATGTGGAACTGGGCATTTTCTTAAGAGACCTCAGAGAAGCCAATATATAGTCACCCAGCCAGGAAGGAACCTGGCCTTGGGTGCTCCCACCTCCAAGCCTTTGCACACGCTGGTCCTCCTCCCTGTGATGGCAGCCTTGTACACATCTGTGAGAGTCCCGGTGTCCTGGGCCTCAAACCCCACATCCTCCTGGGCCCCATGGTACCTGGCAGGACACCAGATGAGTGAGACTAAACAGGGTCTTATCTGGGCAACGAAAAGGGCCTTGGAATCCGGGAGATTCCAGGAGGAGAGGGAGGATCACAACCTCCACTGACCAAGTTCTCCGTTAGCCACTGGCATCCTGCAAAGCACTTGGCAAAAATGAATTGTTCAATCCTCACGATAACCCTGTGAGCAGAGCCCATGGGTCAGGCAATCTCGCACAACCTGGTGAAGCAAATGCTATCAGTGCCCCCACTTTAAAGACAGGGAGGCTGGGCACGGTGTCTCACGCCTGTAATCCCAGCACTTTGGGTGGCCAAGGCAGGTGGATGATTTGAGTTCGGGAGTTCGAGACCAGCCTGACCAACATGGAGAAGCCCCATGTCTACTAAAAATACAAAATTAGCTGGGCATGGTGGCACATGCCTGTAATCCCAGCTAGTTGGGAGGCTAAGGCAGGAGAATTGCTTGAACCTGGGAGACAGAGGTTGTGGTGAGCCGAGATTGCGCCATTGCACTCCAGCCTGGGCGACAGAGTGAGACTCTGACTGAAAAAAAAAAAAAAAACAGAAACTGAAGCCCAAAGAGTTTAAGTAATGCCCAAGACCACACAGCAAATAAGTAGTCAGCCAGGACTCAAACTCAGCCTAACCTCCAAGCCCATGCTTTTAGCCGTTGTGGACTACTGAGTTCTTTCTCTTCTCTGGGACTCAGTCTCCCCATATTTACCATGAGATAGCTTGCCAAAGCACTTTCAGGGAACACTAGTTCCCAAATTAGAGAAATGTTTGTGGGCCCTACTTTCTCTTGTATGTTAGCATATCAAAGGCTCTGATAAGTCCTGCAGGAAAGAAACCCATAACGCTTGGCTGGGCAGTTTCCCAGCCCAACATGAAGGTAGAGCCTTTTTTGCATGGACACCCGTTATCAACATGGAAAAAAGCTCAGAAATCTTGACGCCACACAGAGGCCTGCCAGCACCTCCAGCCCCCTCCCCTCTCTTCCCCTTTGAGCTGTCCCGAAGGTCATTATCGAGCATGAGATGAGCTACAGGAGACGCAGGCTGCAGCGCTCCCCGGGGCCACTCATCAACGTCCCTGACACTTCCAGGAAAGAGGTCCCCGGTGAGCCTGGGGTATATTCGGGCCTATCCCACCTCCCTTCGACCAGTGGCACCTGCTTATGGGAAATGGGCACTGCCAGGCCTGTCCCCAGGTGGGCCATTCCATTAAAGCCAGCCGTGGCCAGCTGGGCCTGTGGCTTCATCGCAAGCAGCTCAGACACTCAGGTTGTTGAGGAAGAGAGAGAATATGAGGATGTCAGAGTTTTAGGAGCTGAGAAACAAAGCCTCTTAGAATTGTGGAACTGAAGCCAGGGCTGCAGCGTGTGCCTACAGTACCAGCTCCCTGGGAGGCTGAGGCGGGAGGATTGTTTGAGCCCAGGAGTTTGAGGCTGCAGTGAGCTATGATCACACCACAGCATTCTAGCCTGGGTGACAGAGTGAGACCTTGTTTCTAAAAACAAATTAAAAGAAAGAAGAAGAAGAATTTTGGAGGCCAGCCACAGCGACTCACTCCTGTAATCCCAGCACTTTGGGAAGCTGAGGTGGGCAGATCACTTGAAGCCAGGAGTTTGCAACCAGCCTGAACAACATTGTGAAATCCCATTACCAAAAAAAGAAATTAGCTGGGCATGGTGGCACATGCCTGTAATCCTAGGTACCTGGGAGGCCGAGACATGAGAATCACTTGAACCCAGGAGGCAGAGGTTACAATGAATCGAGATGGTGCCACTGCACTCCAGCCTGGGTGACAGAGTGAGACCCTATCTCAAAAAAAAAAAAAAAAAAAAGGACTTTTAGAATTGATTGAAAAGACTTGGAACCTAAAGGAGAAGCAGGGATAGGAAGGCACTGGGGACACCAGCCTGTTTTGAAGGGACCTCAAAGAGCCAAAGAGCCAGCAGTCGGACTCTGGTGCCAGGCCTGCCCAGCGCATGCTCCTGGGGTGGTCCGCATCCAGGCAGAGGCTCATGGCCTCGTCTTCTCCTGGCCTTCTCCAGGGCGCCACTGAGGCCAGCCTCCTGGGCCCAGCGCACACACCAGTCAGCACCTGCCCAGGGAACACAGCGCCTGGAGCAGAGGCATAAGGTTCAGAGGAGCTCTGCAGCCACCTGGAAGCTTGGGGCCAGCCTGCCCCTTCTCTGGGCCTTATTTCCTCCTCTGTCAAGTGGGCGACTCTGATGCCTGTCCCCCGCCCGCCTTCTCTGGAGCCAGAGCCCTCCAGGTCCGCGGCTCCAGGAGGCCCACAGGGAAGAGCAGAGCTTACCTTCGAGCTGGCCGTGAGGGGCAGAGGGTGCGAGCCATCTCCCCTGCCCCGGCCAGACTCTCTCCCCTGTCAAACCACAGTCGGACCTCAGCTGTCTGGCCGAAGTTCCCCTTCCCCATCTGCATTCCCACGTTGCCCAAGGCCAGATCCGCAAGGTCAGCCCAGTCACCTCCCTCCTTGTTTTCTCAGGGAGGCAGTCCAGCTACGCCAGGTCTGGCAAAACTCCCATCTTTGGAGCCCAGGACATTTAGCATTCCCCAGGCCAGCCACCAATCCTCCCTTTCTTTTCTCCTCCTCCTCCCCCGGGTCCCAGATCCTGAGCGCACCCTCCCCAACTAAGTAGGCTGGGTAGGACACAGTTCTCCCCTGCCATGGCTGGCGGCCCAAGCCTGCTGCACCTGGACCCCGTCCGGGGAAGGGAAGTGGAAGCACTGGGTTCCATCCCAGCTCCTGAGCATGCGGCACAGCATCACTGAGCATCAGGAGTTGCACACACCGCGGGCGGGGTGCTCACCGCCTCCAGCGACACAACTGTGGTCATTAAGCTCTTTGAACATGCAGGACAGGATTGTGAGTTCTTTACACATGTTGACTCATTTAAGCCTCCTCAAAACCCTTGAGACAAGTACCATGACACCCACTCCACAAATAGGCCAGCGAGGCCCAGGAAGGTCAAGTTACCTGCCTGAGGTCACACAGCTGCGAAGTAACAAAGGCTGGATGCGAACCCCAGCGCTGGCTCCGCAACACACGCTGTTCATCTGGAAGCAGGTTTCCCTCCTGAACTTACCTGACTCTAAGGAAGCGCTTCTATCAAAAAGTCACAGTAAAGAAGGCTCCCACCAACACAGTTCCACGGGTTCACGAGGACGCCATCCCTCCAAGGGCCCAAATCAGGGGGTGCATGGGACCTCACCCGGGCGAGCTTGGATTGTGGCTCCACTGCACTCCCAGGCCACTCACCCACTGGGCTTGTTTCTGACCCCCGGGGGTGCAGCCCAGTGACCCAAAAGAATCTGCAGGAAGGGTTGTACTGAAGGGAGGGGTGTGAAGCTCTCACCCCCAACCACTTCCTTGTAGTTGAAACTGCTGTCTTTAACTGTCTAAGTCCCTTGAAGTACCATCTGTGACCACCCCCCCACAGTTCTTAGTGCCACCCCACCCACCGGCTACTCCATCAATGTTGGGGAGAAGGGAGATGGAGGGGAATGGAAAAAGATAAAGGGGGAAGGGATGGGGAGGAAGAAGGGGAGCTGGAGGGGAAGGGGAGTGAAGGAGGAAGACGGGAGAGGTGGGGGTAGCTGGGGGAGGGAGCAGGAGTGACAGGGACGGGGAGGAGGGGGAGCAGGCGGGAGAATAGTACCTGAGCTCCTTTGTGGCGTCAAGTGGACTTACTGTCTCTACATTAAGAATGTGCACGGCAGACGAGGGCTTCTCCTTTGCTGGTGGGTCAATGTCCCACACCTCTTTTCAAGAGGACAGAGACTTTGAAGCTGGGCCACCCCAGCCACTGCTCCCTCACTGGAGCTCCAAACAAAGGGGACAGCCAGGGAAGAGAGGCTGAGAAGCCGAAGCCGCCAGCGTGGGAGAAGGGGCGCAGGTGACAGAAGCCCCTAGCAACCGTTGCCCTGGCAACCATTGGCAGCTGCAGGGACTACGTCACAGCTCGGCTCAGACCCAGCAAAGCGACGTGGCTCCGTATCTTGTCCTGTGCCCAAGTCCTCAACTCAGACGCTGCCCAGGCCAGACAGGCAGCTGGCAGGAGGGAGGGCAGGGCTTAGGACGGTGACTTATCGGGAGCCTGTCTTGATGGGACCGCAAAGAGCCACAGCTTCCAATTTCTTGAGAGAAGCAGAACCTCAGGTTTTTACATGAAATCTGCAAGTTTGTCAATGTTGACTTTAAAATCAAATCTATTTAGAACCCAGTCTGGGCCACCCAGTAATCAAATTATGCCTAACGGTAGCTGGATTTGCTTCTGGAAGCTGCCAGCCTGTGGCCATGGCCTCAAAGCAGGCTGAACACCCTCTAATCCCACATTGACTGTTGTGAGCACAACGTGTGCATCATAGAGCTCTGAAAACTCCTCCTCCAGGGAGCCTTCCCAGATAGCCACAGCCTACCAAGAATCCCCCTTCTGAGTTAGCCCTAGGCCTGGAGGTTCCTCCTGACTTCCTTCTAGAACTCCCAGTGGGGTGGCTAGGAGCTCAGATTCTCTTTTTCCAGTTTGGAGAGGGAGGAAAATAAAGGCAGAGCTTCTGAAACTCCTACTGTGTGCCAGGAACTACACTTGACATTTTGGAGATCCATTTCTCCCACTCTTTAAGATTGGCCCTATGAGACCCACCTTACTGATGGGAAAACAGAGGCTCAGGGGATGTGACTTGCTGTAAGCCACCTAGCTGGTAAGGGTGGCTTACAGCAAGTCACATCCAAGATGTTAAATAGAATTTAAACAGAGATATTCCCTGGGACATGAAGATATCAAGACCAATTGTCCATGTGACGCCTGACTGATCCCTAATGCCCCGCAATGTTCAGTGCTTGGCCAGATTTTATTTGATCATCTCCAGTGACAGGGAGCTCACCTCCTTCCAAGAAGGCACATTCCTTTGATCTCTAATAAGTTTTTCATACCCACTGAGTCAAAGGGAAAAGGACATAAAAACCGTGGGGTGCCCGAAACAGGGCACAGGAGAGAACCAGGAGTTAGAACCACCACTGAGGCTTTCAGATCCAGACAAGCAACAGCCCAGCAGATAGGGTGCGGTTGCTCAGGGGTGAAAAAGATCCCGGCGTCTCAGTGGACGAGCTTCAAGCGCTTTCTCAGAACACAAGCGGGCAACCCCACTGGCCATCACACTCCAAGGGGAGTCCAGGGGAGGAAGGGGCTTTAGGACAATTTCTGGCAGAGGCCATGGGAAAGGCAGCAGGGGCTTGGGGCCGTGGGGATGGCGTCTCTGCAGCTCCCCTCCTCACCCGCCCCTCCATGGCCCAGAGCCAGGAGGCAGCTTCAGTCAGGAGGCCGCTATTGTCTCACTGCAGGCCCAGAGCCGGGTCCCATTCAGGCCCTATTTTTGGCCCCCAGAGGAAGAGGAAAGAAAGCAAAGAAAGGACTTGCTGTTCTCTGGTGAAACCTTCTCCCGGAAAGCCTCACGGCGCTTGCTGGCTGCAGAAGGCGGTCTCCGTGGCATCAAAGGATTCTGCGCTTAAAGGGAGCTGGCAGGGAGCTGCGGCTCAGGGGACCCAGTAGGAGGCACAGATGAGGCACACCACGCCTTTTACACACACTGGGCACTCCCTTATGGCGGCAACCCAGAGAAACAGAGGCACAGCTTCCCCAGCCCCACCCAGAGTCCCTAAACATCCACCCATGGTAATAATAAAAATACCTGCTCATCACGCCCAGAGCCAAAACCCAAAGCACTGTCTGGCTTCACACCTACAGCATTCCCGACGGGGAGGAGGCGGGGACTGAAATGATGACGCTCATTTTATAAGTCAGGGAACTAGGCTCAGGGAGCAGCATGACTGCTGAAATCACAAGCCAGTAACCACAAGCCTACTCCCATTCCCCGACCTGACGCCAGCTCTTCCCTTCCTGCAGTCACCAACTCCAGCCTCTCCAGCCTTTCAACCGGACACATCTCCGGGCCTTCGCACGCACTTTTCCCTAACATAGTACATCCTTTCCAGGACCCTTCCCCTGACTGCCTCCTTCTCAGGTCTCAATCAAATGTCCCCTCCTCTGAGAAGCCTTCCGTGATCACCCAACCAACTTCAGCATCACCCAACTTCAGCATCCATCGCTCTCTTCCATGGGACTTTGATTTGTTACCCTTACAGTACCTAACACTGACGTGACTCTGCGATTAGCTTACGTGTTATCCCTTGCTCAGCTTCACTGTCTCACCTATCTTCCTCCCACCGGCATCTCAGTACCTAGCACAGTGCCTGGTCCACCGAAGACGCCAGTGACTGCAGGATGAATAAATGAATGATTGAGGCAGAGCTGGGGCTCTAACCCAGGGCAGGCAGGCTCCGCACCTCTTCTCAAAAGGAGCCATTCCTGATAGATCTATAGAAGATCAAGAAGATCCAACCCCAAAGTGCCACGAAGGCTACGTGAGGGGTGCGGAATGGGGAAGGTTCGAGCACCCAGCCACCTCCACTCTCCAGACCCTCACAGGATCAGGAGCACACGCACACCTCTGCCAGGTGCTTGGCCAGAGAAGGGTTTCCGAGACTGTGCGTAGCCTGATAGGACCTGAAACAGTAGGCAAGCTCCCCTTTGCTTTCCTGATGGGGGCTCCGAGAAGTCCTGTAGCACAGAAGCCTGGGAGCCCTTGCCTTTCCTCTGCCACCGGGGCCACAGCCAGTTTTAATGGGTGCTGGATGAGAAGATGTCTGAGATTCCATCTGAACCTGTGAGCATGAACCTTGGATTTTCTCTCTACATTAAAGCAAAATTACCACCTCCAAGACCCTCAAAGGCCCATTCCTGTGGCTCAGATCTAAGGGTCCCAGGTAGCAGATCCGCCAATGAGTGGGTCACTTGCCCGTTGCTGCAAACGCCAAGCTCCTACCTGGGCTCCCCATGGGCTCTCCAAGGTAAAGCAAGGAGGAGAAAGAGCACGTGCCTATGGCCATGGGTCCTGGGGTCCAGCAAGCTGGGGGTGGGGGGTGTCCCAAGCATCAGTCTGCAGAGACTCACGAGGGAGCTGGGGCAGGGAAGGGAGCCACGCGCAAGTGCAAACCACAGGAGATGCACTTGGCCTCCCACGCGTCCACGGCCGCTCTATGAGGAGGTGCTATCATTCCCATTTTATAGCAGGGACACAGGGACACGGAGCTTGCCCAGGAACACAGAGCTGGTAAAACTGGATCCAAAGGAGCGTGGTGCACTCCTTGCCTTGCGCTGCCTCCATTGTCCTGCATGGCACCCTGGATCCTGCCCTGGCATCGACACGGACAGTCAGCCGCAGCTATTCCATAGAGGGGGAAGGGAGGCTCAGAGGAGCTGAGCCAGGGGCTCAAGCCTCAGGCCCAGGAACAGGGGCGGGGCCAGACCTTGCTGACTCCAATGCTCGAGTGGTTTGCAAACACTACAGTCCTTCCTAGATCACAGTCACTACAGCTTCTGACTCCAGTTTCCCAAACCCACGTGGAGGGACAGAGACAGGACCCTAGGGCATGCTGCTACCTGCTGTCTCCATGAAGAGGCACTGGGTGTTCTCCCCCTTCATGGCTGGTGAGGGTGCTGCACTGGTCCCAGCTCCCACCACCTCCAGCTAGGGCACCAGGATGCGGGCAGGTCTGTGCATCTAGACACAGATGCACAGCTGTGTCCTCCTGGTCCCCTAGGTGTGCGCAGGTGGTAGAGGCCCCACAGTAGGAGTACAGCTTTGAGGAAGCTGTGCACAAGGCTTCCTTCCAGCCTTGCCCACTGCCCACAGCTCTAGGCAGGTGGGGGTCGGGGGAGTGCCGTGGGGTCAGGAACACCCCTATTCAGGTTCGAGCCTGTTGGATGAGGGAGAGCAAGGGGCCCAGAAGACTCGGGAGGTGGGTGTCCTGCCGCTCCTGACTTCTCCATCAGGCCCTCCCAGCTCACCCTTGTCCTCTTCAGCTGGGTTCCTCTCCCGCTCTGCTCCCTCCCATCCAGCCCACTGAGCTATTTACACATGGACAGGAGGCTCCGAAAATGCATTCATGGCATTCATGGTAGAAGCTCCTTGGAAGAAGCTTGCCAGTCGGCCAGGCTATGAAGATGGTGTCTAGATGGAGGCAGCACCTGCCCATAAGCATGGCCTGATGCACCTAGAATGACCCATATGTCGCTTAGAGACTTAACTACTCGGGAACATGAGAATTGGGTGCCCATCTCCCCCAAGGCTAGGAAAGCTCAGGGCTGGAAGAAGCCATGAAGAGGAGCCCCATGCACTGCCCAAGTTGCCTCTGCAACTCCCCTGCCACTCTTGAATACCTACAGAGACGGGGAACTCACTACCTATCATGGGAATGGCCATCTGTGTTACTAATGAGGAGAAGCCTGGGCTAAGAGGCAGGAGACTGGGCTCAGGCCCTGCTACCCTTGACTGCTCTGAGCCCTGATTCCTCATCTGTGACATGTGGATAAAGTTCCAAGTCTTAGAGGGCTGGCAGCACTCACGATTGAATGAGGGTCTTTGTAGGCAGGGAAGTGTGTGCCCCAGGGGTGGGGGTTTGGCCCGTGACCAGATGATGACACAGCAGAGGAGCAGTGGGCAGAGGACACAGGGCTGAGATGAGTCAGGGGCCCCGGCCAGCCCCTGGGGCTCACCCCTAGCATCTGTCACCATCAAGGCAGGTGGGTCTGGGCAGTTGTCTGACCCCTGCCACAGGGTCCGAGACCCAGGGTGCCAGCCACTGAGCCACGCCCTGAGCCCCAGACTCAGCCAAGGACCCAGAAGGGGTCAGCCGCTCAGCCTAGCTCCCAGCGGCCACGGGAGCTCACCCAGCAGAGAAGTGACCACATTGCAGTTCTGCCCCAGGAAACCAGCTCCCCTGGAACCCAGGCCTCCTCTCTAGGGCTAGTGCTGTGGCCTCTGGTCCCCGGACAGGTCAGCCGTTCTGTAGGTAATGGCTCCAGCCCAGCTCCCCAGGCCCAGGGTCACTTCAACTCACTCCAAAACCTGGGTTGGGCTCAGGTCTTAGGGATCGCGAAGGAACCCCAGGCTGGACAATGCCTCGGGCCAGCAGATCGAGACCCCAGTAATGGGCGTGTCCAAAGGGGAAGCTGTCACAGGACTGGTGGTTTTCCCAGTGACATCTTGGGAGGATGGTGCCATCGTTCTGGATAAAGTCTCTGTCGCTCTCTAAGAACGAGGTTTGGTCATGGCTCAGAAGGGACAATGACAACAGCACTTGAGGTGTGCCTGGCCCTGCACTCAGCACTTAAAATCTAGAGGCTCACGTAACCCCCTCGAGGTGCCGTTACCATCCTCATTTTCACAGTTAGGAACATGAGGTGCAGTGAGGTTAATATACCTGTACCAGGTCACACAGCCAGTGGAGCTGGGACAGAATCAGGCAGCCCCAGAGCCCATACCCCTAACAGCCCACCTCGTGTTGCCTCTCCCGGGAGGTGGCCTGGCTGGGGCATGGGGAGGCAAAAGTCTGGGACAGCTGGGAACAGGGTCTACATCGCCTGAGCCCCAACGACATGTGGCAATCTCAGTTCATCCCCACAGGGTCGCATGTAGATGTCAGAGACTTTCATAGCCCAAGAAATGAAGTTTCGAGAAATTCCTGCCGCTTGCTCAAAGTCACTTTCAAGGATTTGAACCTAACTCAACGACCCCATGATCCTGAATATCAAACCTTGAGATGAGGTTTAGAGAGGACCTA